CACAAAAGTTACTCTTAAAACTATCCACATTTAAAATATTAATCACATGATTTATAGTTTCCATTTTATTGTTACTTTTTTGTAACTAGCCATTTCTCTAATTATATATAAAATATTGAAATTTCTATAATGGACATTTTAATACGCTATATTAACAAGGCATAAAATATAAATGTAGAGGGCCTTATCTCAATAATATCATACTTCAGATATTCTGTGATAGCTGACCATTACCAAACTTGTGTGCCCAGTAGCACTGAGGAAGTACCACCGCTCACTAACATCCACACGAGTATACAAATAAATGTCTTACGGTAAATATAAGACTATCAATGTATTTATAGTGCTGGCAAGAATGAGTTTTTATGTTCACTATGGTGTTTGTTACAGATCAGTCAAGATTGGGTTAAGTATTCAAGACAATTCAGAGTTAAACTTTTGTTCAGTCTATAATTTTTTTTATTAATATAACGTTTCACCAGGATGCTTCAAGCATTTCATTTCTATTATCATCACAATCTGCAAAAGAATGTTACATTAAAAGAACAGCCAGTCTGGTATAAATACTGGATCAAATACCTATTCAGTCATGCACATACAAAATGACAATTGGCTTGTGTGGCAGAAAAACAAAATGGCTAACAGGTCAGTGTGGAAGTGAAGGACTGCTTTTAGCCTGTTGGACCAAGCTCTCAAGTCTGGCCTCGAGCCGGGCTTGGAGAGTAGAACAACTCCCAGAACCCCATCAAGCAGGTAACCCCTGCACTGCACACCTGTTTTTGGCAAAAATTTCATGGTGCAGTTAAGGACATGTTCTTATCATTTTTATAAATGTTCAGCTAATGTTAATGTAAAAATGTTTCCAAACTAATCATTTTGTCAAATCACAGTGATGAAAAAAAAAAATTGCACACCCCTCAGAGCACCTTAATAGTTCTCTGCACAGTTAAGTGGCTAAAGTCCACCATCATGTAATACTGAAATCAAACTATGTAACTTTACATACAAAAACAAATATTGCTGCATCAAAAACTAGCCACAACATTTAATGTACAGTACAGTGAAATTCATGTCAAGACTAAAAAACAAAATGAATTGTAGAACTTTCACAATTAATATTTAACACTTCTTTCACTGTAAATAAGCTATACAAAGTTTACACACAACATTAATCCATGTATATAAGGCAACAACCTTAGGGTTGAGATACTAATGTACGAAAGAGCAAATTTCAGGCAGAAGACACCCGTCCCTTCTTACCTTGCTATAGAACCACTCCCATCCCACTTTACCTTGCCATATTACCTATCTACCCAATTAACTGCTTCATATTTGACGTGTCAACATGCCTGTTATCAATGTAAGATTCTTATACAGTAATTACCTTCATTAAGTACAGGGATCATATTGGAGTAACAAATTTGTAGCTCTGTATGAATCATACGCATTTACCGACACTAAAGGATTATACAGATGAATGTTTTACAAGTTACAGATCACATCTTTACAGCACTCTCTCGTCAGTACTCTTTAGAATGAAATAAAACTTGCAAATTACCAAGAATAAAAATGGTGGAAAGTGCATTTTCAATCAATAAATCATCGTATAATCAGATGAACAAAGATTGTACCTTTTTAGTAAAACAATGGAAGAAATTATGAATTACACTTTAAAATATGCACACAAACTTTTGCTTTTATGAATGCAACCTACTTTTGCAATGTTGCTGTGTTCCCTATTGCCTAATTCACCTTTACACAGCACTTTTAAGGTCTAAATATTGTGGAAATTAAATACCAAGGAGTTTCAATTATCCAAATTTAAAATAAAGTACATATGAAATTAAAATGCATCTTCTTGCATCAAAATGTTTATTATACATCTTTTGCACCGGACTCCTGGCCCAAATTCAAATTAAAAAACCAGCGTTGAATGTAATGAAACGCCATTTTCTGGGTGAGACCCGGAGGCTCCCCGGAGCTTTACCGGCTGATATGCTAATGTCAGACTTTGGCATCAGTCATGTGTATGGAGTTCTAGGGCCTACCGGGGACCACGAGCCAGAACCTGGCCCCCTCAGAGAGGCAAGGGGAGCAATGGCCTATAGAAACCCCCGTGTGGTTGGAAGCATTCTATGTCTGCCATCGACCGGGTCAAGCATCCAGAAAGGTAAGCATTCCAAAACAAACCCCTATTCTGGTGAAAATTGCTACCTAAGCCGAACTAGTGGATAGAACTCTTCAACAGAAAACAAGGAAACTAGTATGACGTCATACGTCACCGCGCCGCTGTCTGCGCAGCTCCCCCCTCCCCAGGAGGGGGAAGGGGGAGCCCCAGACCTCCCACGCCGGCTATCCACCCACCAGTTCAGAGGCTGGATGTCAAAACACGCGAAAAACGCCGACCGGAGGGAGGGAGGGTTGCCGGGGAGCCTCCGGGTCTCACCCAGAAAATGGCGTTTCATTACATTCAACGCTGGTTTTCTGGGGGGAGCCCCGTCGGCTCCCCGGAGCTAACTACCCACAGAGGAAGGTCAAAGGGACAAAACCGGGAGGCGGACACCACGCACCCCCCAAGGAGGCGAGACAACTGACAGCAAATGCCAACCCAAGGCGCCACAGCCCCGAAAATCCTGGGAACAACTCGAGAACCACGAGCAGCAAGGCCCCTGCACGAACACCAAAAATCCATGCCCGAAAGACTGCAAGGCCACGTCGCCCAGACGGCAGCGAGAGCAGCGAAGCCACGAACGCCACAGGCATGAGGGAAGAACACAGGCAGCTTAGCCGCAAGAACACGGCTGACCACCTGGGACACCATCACCCGCGAACCGGGAAGAACAGAACCGGATCAACGCAAAACGCGCTCCGGACCCAAACGCCGTGGCACGCAAACAACAGCGGAGGGCCGCCACTGAACACACAAACGACACCCCCGGCCCGACCAACGAAGCACCAACAAACCCCGGACCCCTCCAGAATGCAGCAGCCCCACCCCGCGCCAGAAAAGATGGAGACTGCTGCCATCAAACAACCAAAACGCTAAAACCGAAGGAGCAAGAAAACTCAGCGAATCGACCCCCAGAGACAAAGGCCCAAAGGAAAGAGCCGACGAAAAAACACACCGGAACCGAAGGGGCACTACCAACCGAGGAGAAGACAGAGCACGCTGACCAGAGACCAGGATGGTGCAAGCGGCGCACGAACAGGCCGGAGGTGAAACGACGCACAAGACAGCTGACTAACGGTGCAGAAGCAACACCAAGACCGAAAGCAAGCTGAAGCGGCTCCGCCTGCGCCGCACGAAAAGAGGCGACAGTATGTGGCAAGACGACGGCCCCCAACCCCCACTAGAAAACCAAGCTGAGAGTAAACCAAGCCAACAAGAGTAACCACCTAAGAAGGGACAGGAAAAGGAAGGACCGCCAAAATACCCCATACTGCCGCCAAGAGAAGCACGCAGGTGGGACACCTACCACGAAGCCACCCGACCACCAACCGGAGGCAAGACCACAAGGCAGAACATAAGCAGCCCTGACAAGGCCCCCCGAGCCCAGGAAAAAGGCGGAGCCGCGAGAAGATCTCGGGCGCGACCACCGAAACCCAGGCGGCACAAGGAGATGGAACTACAACGGGGCAGCCCCGGGGCTCCCGGGGAGGAAACCACGAGAACGTTGCCACCACCAAGGCTCAAGTGCAACGCCCCTGCTGCCCGCACCCGCTGTGTTAGCACAACTGGGTAACCGAGCCACAACGAGCAACCAAACTCGCAGGACTCCGGGTCGAAGGTGTCACCGACCCCACAGGCAGCAGACGGAGGCAAAACAGAGAGTCACCCAGAGACAAAAGGTGAGAGCAACCCTCAAACTCGCTGGAAGCGAGGGGGGGGGCTCTGGGGTCACATCCATCGGACCCGCGCGCCCCCAGGGGTTTCCCAGGGTCCCGAGCGTTTACTTTAAGAGGACTCGCGCTCAGGTAGTCCCAGGCAGGGTACTGCTAACCGGCACCCAAAGCTACCAAACAACTTTCTAAGAGCCGAACCCCCGGGACGTGTACACTCACGGGGACCTAGCAGGGGGCACCACCAGAAAATACTCAGAACACAAGGGACACAAGGGGCAAGAACGAAGGCAGACCCCCCCACCAGGTAGATAAACAAAAAGAAAAAGAAAACCCCGCAAGAGGACAGCGTACCCAAGCGGAACAGAGCCGGCCGCTATGATTGGTAAAGACAAGCTGCACAGTACCCCGCGCCCCACCAGTGCAAACACTGCCCCTTACTCTAAGGCGAACAAGGGAGACAGAACCCCCGAGCACACAAAGAGCGGCCGAAAACCAAGCAGTAAACGGCCAAGCAGGGGCAGGACCCAAGGAACTTGTGGAAGGTGGCCCCAAGCCCCAAGGGCAGTACTTACAGGGCACCTAGGGAAGGGAACCCTAGACGCATGCAGCCCGAGTACTGAAGAATCACTCCCGGCTCACGCACCACCTAGAAAAACAGACACCACACTCTAGGTACAGTGCTGAAACAACCACTGGAGCCGGAGCACATAACCAATGCCTATAGCATCAGCCGAAGAACTGGTGGGTGGATAGCCGGCGTGGGAGGTCTGGGGCTCCCCCTTCCCCCTCCTGGGGAGGGGGGAGCTGCGCAGACAGCGGCGCGGTGACGTATGACGTCATACTAGTTTCCTTGTTTTCTGTTGAAGAGTTCTATCCACTAGTTCGGCTTAGGTAGCAATTTTCACCAGAATAGGGGTTTGTTTTGGAATGCTTACCTTTCTGGATGCTTGACCCGGTCGATGGCAGACATAGAATGCTTCCAACCACACGGGGGTTTCTATAGGCCATTGCTCCCCTTGCCTCTCTGAGGGGGCCAGGTTCTGGCTCGTGGTCCCCGGTAGGCCCTAGAACTCCATACACATGACTGATGCCAAAGTCTGACATTAGCATATCAGCCGGTAAAGCTCCGGGGAGCCGACGGGGCTCCCCCCAGAAAATATACTGCTTTCAATAAATGATCTAGTGGAAATATCCAGCATTTTCACATTTAATCACATGTTTATTACAATACAAAATTAAAAATTCTTTATTGGATTTACCAAACCTTTCGTTATAATACTCCCCCATTCTAAATCATTTCTTGAACACGTCTGGATTTCATTTTTTTTTTAACATATGGCTCGGTTCTATCATACTAAACCACAAGTAAAATCAATTCGGATTTCATTGATTATTTTCTTGTCCCAAAATGAAAGTTTGAAATTAGGCAATTCTGCAGAGCAACATTTTGGAATCTTGCTTAATACTGGCAAGTGTGAAGGTGTAATTGGCTATATCCTCGGACATGCTGTATATCAAGCGTTTCAACCTTGCTGCTGGTAGAATGTATCAAAATTTAACTGAAGTCACGGTTGCTGAGAATGATGGGAGCAACCAAAGTCCACATATACAGGAAGAGACAAATCCAACTGGACACAATCTGTGGAAGAAAATAATCTTCATAACCTCCTAGTTTCTTCTGTCAACAAGACAAAAAAAAAAAAAAATACAAAAAAAAAAAGGACCTGTGTGATAAGCAGGAAAATTTCCTATGTAATACATGAGGTTTAGTATGTAAGGTTTAGTATGTATGTAATTTAGTATGTAAGTATGTATATTTAGTATGTAACATCTAAAATTTGATTCAATCATAATCAGTAAACTACCAGGACCTCTGAAATAATGCTGACAATGATCAGGGATCATAGTGACTACTCGGGAGAATTAGCTGGAACAAATGTAAGAAGAGAGACTAATGAATAAATTTAATACTGTGGGCCTAGCATTAGCCTTTTGCAACACTCTAAAATTATCCAAATAGACTGGGAATATGGACACACTAACAAAAAGGTATGAATCTTATACAATGTGTCACATTGTTGACAGATCTATAATGCTAACCTGAGGGAGTAGAGTTCATATGGAGTTCAAGGTGGGTGTCTTCACACCCACCTTGAACTCTCCTGCACTATCACTCACACATGACTACCAATGAAAATTGTTACAAAATAATGCAATTTCTTGGTAAATAATGTCAAATGTTTGTGATAGTCCATGTAAGCCTCATTTAAACTTCATCTATTAATGTCACCTACCTACCACACACCAATACATGGTGCAATTTTAGATAATGCTGCGTCTTGTACAAAATTGTCTGTAGTACACTAACAGTGATGTTAGTGTACTACAGTATTACAGTATTACATGCATTCAAAGGCTTCAATATATGGCATGGCATTTGTAGTTTATAACGTATGCTAGAACACCAAAAACACCTCTCATGTCTCAATATCCAATGAATTTATTATATACATTTAAATCCATGGAATGGTCTTACTAGGTTGAAAATTGGCAGTTATCACACCAGTGAAGATTCATACAATTGAAACTGTTTGGCAAAACACTTGCGTCTCCATGATTCTATACACAGTATTTACAATTCTACATATCTCACCTTGACCCAGACAGCAGCCAAGTTGCTGGATAGTGTTGAGAGGTCAGAATTAGGAGTGAACCAGTTTGTGAGGGTCATCATGACGTAGAGCGTGGCTAGACCAAACATGGTATGGAAGAAGGACCAGGAATATGACACACCATCCTCTTCATTATCCCACACATGGTGCCCATCTCCAGTCTCGGGATCACCAGAGGCACCTGCAGTATGTATGCAAATTGAAGTTACAAGTTGTCCTAACACAAGATAATACAGGATTTAAAAAAGTATTTAAGTACAATATTATAATTCAAGTTACACTAAATTTACTTTCATAATATTAAAACCTATCACAATTTTCTAAACTTAGCATGCAAGAACTAACCTATTATTTAAAAATCCTCTCTTAATAATGCAACTTTTATAATCCAAACACAAAAAAGTCTTATAGTATTGGAAATTTTTCATGACATTTGCCATATACAGTACAAGAGTCAGCTCAATGTTAGGCTAATTCTGGCATTTAATCCTTGTAAAGCCTACCTAAGCTAAGGCCCTTGGATACTTCCCGAGACAGTGACCATATAGTCTACCTAGCATGCTGTACCTGCCAGGCTCTTGTTAACCCCACCTTCCCCCCTCCTCACCTTTACAGGTACCTTTTGCAAATGGTCTTGTCATTTAATTAGGGATGTAAAATAGCAGGAACTCAAGCAGACACCACTGAGGAACCAGGTTCCTATCATAGAAAAGCAGCAGCAATAGCCTCAACACCACTTGCATGCAATAATTAAAAAACACATTCTCCAATTAATGCTCTGAACTATCAAGCAAGAATTAAAAGTAACCTCTGCTGCCACCAATTGAGCAGCTCCCTTCACAAGTGCCAGTGGAGCCCAAAACCCTTATTTTATACCTAGCAATCCACTATTGCTTACCTAGGTTCTGCATCCCCAATTGCTTTAATTTTTTGTTGCCTGGTTTGATCTAGAGATTGTTATCCAAGCACAGGAGGATGCCACACTTGGGGTTTGCTGTGCTGCATAGTTTACTGGTCATGTGTCATACTGAATTTTTACACACTGTTTCAGGGTAACCTTCCCTGGTGTTGTCTTTGGGAGGCCTTTCAGCCTGAGAAATGTTTTTTTTAAAGCTGTTTGGTGTTGCCTTCAATATGGTCTACCTCTTCTCATGCTGTAATACTTATGTGGTGTCTTGGGCTTTGTCACTGACCTGACAGATGTTGGTGCTGGACTTCTCATTCACACTTAAACATTTTACTTAAAACACACACACTTCACTAAGTGGCTCCCAGAACTAAAGGGCAAGAGCTACGAGGAGAGGTTAGAGGCATTAAATATGCCAAAACTAGAAGACAAGAAAAAGAGGCGATATGATCACTACATACAAAATAGTAACAGGAATTGATAAAATCGATAGGGAAGATTTCCCGAGACCTGGAACTTTAAGAACAAGAGGTCATAGATATAAACTAGCTAAACACAGATGCCGAAGAAATATAAGAAAATTCACTTTCGCAAACAGAGTGGTAGACGGTTGGAACAAGTTAGGTGAGAAGGTGGTGGAGGCCAAGACCATCAGTAGTTTCAAAGCGTTATATGACAAAGAGTGCTGGGAAGACGGGACACCACGAGCGTAGATCTCATCCTGTAACTACACTTAGGTAATTACACACACACACACACACACACACACAGTAAAGGACACAGGAAGAGAAGTGTACTCTTGCCAATTACAGAGAAAGCATTTATCCAGTAAGTTCATACATACATGAAGACTAAAAAGTGAGGACCTAAACTAGAACATGCAGCACTGCAGTTGTATATTGCACATTTCTTAAAAAGCACATCAACAAACTGGAAAGGTGCAAAGACATCCTACTAAATGGCTTCTGGACCTAAAACACAAATAATTATAAAAAAAATAATGGCACCAAACCTGGAAGACTACTTAACACCTTAAATTGCCTATAAGCACCCTAAGAACAATATGACAAGAACTTCAACATAACCTCATGGATATGAGGCAAAGTGAAGTTATGCTAGCAATTCCATCATAAGTCATTTTTCAAGAAGAGCCACACATCTCTGGATCATTTAACACTATCGCTCGCTTTGGACACCGATCATGTTAATTTTTTTTTCTCCCGAGTCCTAGCCGTGGACAGGACTCGCGTCTACTACAAAAATATTTGTTTAAAATTAATTTTTTATCCGATTGACCTCGGGATAGTTTCAAAATAAATGCCTATAAATTTGCACAATTTGATACCAAAATGAAAGATGTAACACGAAACATGATGTCAGAACACTTGAAAGATTATAAATACGTTTTTGGGTCTAAATTTTAAATTTTAAAATATTTGTTAAAATTCTATTTATTGTGCTATTATCATGGGACTAGTTTTAAAATGTGTGCCTTTATATTGCAAACAATTTGATACCAAAACGAGCGATGTAACATGAAATTTTATGTCAGAACACTGGAAATATATATATAATTTTGATGATGAGTGTCCAAAATTAAAATATTTGTTAAAATTCCAGTTATTGCTCTATTATTATGGGACTAGTTTTAAAATACGCGCCTTTATTTTGCGAACAATTTGATACCAAAACGAGCAATGTAACATGAAAATCGATGTTATCAAACTGAACGAATATACACATTAGGTTGTGGTGTGCAAATTGGTGCTCGTTCACGGGTAACTTTAGGCTTTGCTGCGGGAAGTCTCGCCAGGCTTTTGGACATTATATGCATATATATCTGCAGAGAATTTAATTGCGAACACACTGATACCAAAATAAACGACGTAGTACAAGAATCAAGGCGAGAAAACTGAAACGAGTACACACATTTTACTGATTTTGTGCACTCACGGTAACTTTTCCGACTTTAGGCTTTGCTGTGGGGAGTCTCGCCAGGCTTTTGGACATTATATGCATATACATCTCCAGGGAATTTAATTGCGAACACAATGATACCAAAACGAACGACGTAACAAGAATTAAGGTGAGAAAACTTGAACGCGTATACACATTTAGGTGTCGCCGCACGCTCACCCGCACCATTGGCCCCATGACGTCAAAGTCTGCGGTGCGCGTGTGGCGCCGGCGATACTGTTAATAAAATAAGCAAACTACTAGATGTTATAACAGTTTAAGCCAAGCAGTTGTAAGTACAGCACTGAGATGACAACTTTGCTTCTGTGTTTGTGGCATTAGTAAAAGAGTGGCTGGTTGTCCATGGATTTCTAATACTGAAGCTTTTTTTCTCACAAACAACCGCATTATGGCTTATAAACAAACAATGTTGACTTCCTTCTTTCATAAACAAAATGAGGAGTGTAAGAAGAATAACGTACAGAAGACTAATAATGACAGCATCGAGTGGCAAAAGTTGTGTTTCAACCGCTTCTAGTTCAAATTTTCAAACTGGATCCCTGTGCAATTCAGAAAGTAATGGTGCTTTGAAGTTGAACTTGTATCCCTGTTCAGATGTTTGGACTGAAGAAATGTAGAAGAAAAAATGGAAACCTATCCATGGTTAGACTTCAGGAATGATAAACCTGGGTGTAAAGTACAGTATATGCAAACATAAGCAATGTAACACTTTTCACTTCTAAGGGTCTATCAAATGAGTTGCAGATGTACCAAGTATCCTATTATGGACCAGATCGAAGTACAAGCTTGAAATCTTTCGGAAACAAAATTGTTGATCAAAAACTATCGAAAGCTCACAATGCTGCTTTACGTGTTGAAAATGTAGCAAATGAAGATGCTCTTGGAAAATTGTCATTCCATGAATGCTTGACATCTGAAGACAACTTGTTAAATTTTGCATTCTGCATATTATTTAGCTCCAAATGACAGACCATACTCTGATTACTTTGGCTTACTGGAACTACAAAAGCAAAATGGTGTTTACACTGGAATGGGACTGCATTCCTACACTAGTGCCACAGAGATAATTACCATATTTGTCGGCGTATAAGAAGCACTTAATATTTTTAAGTGTATCAAAAAATGTGCCCTGCATCTAATGTGCCCATATTACAGATGGGAGACTGAGGGGTATATATCAAGGAGCTGGATGAGCAAACTGGGTAAGTTCGCTAAGCACACAAATCGTTGCTAATAATAAGATATTGAAAGCAAGCCGAGTTACCACAGTTTGTTGTCACAAATTTATGATACGTCTGCAGTTATGAAGGAAGCTCACATCTACCCAGTACAGTATACATAACCCACACCTGGTATGTCATACATTATTTAACGACTGTGTTACCCTTAAGACATTTATTCATTATCTTGAATGAAAAATGATCCAAGAAATTTTAAAGAAATGTTCAACTTTCATCTGCTTGTCAGCCATTTGCAATAAATGAAATACAACCCCACCAAATTGCTGCGATAGTGAGCCACTGCCGGGTGCACCACCCTGGTGGCCGGATTCGGCAACAAAACATAACATCCAGAAATACAAGTTTCACATCTTGTATAGCAATTCGTTTGCCCAAAATATAAACAACTACACCACAGCAGATCTTAGAGGAGATAAGTATTGTGGCACAAAATCCACTTTAAAATATCTTTCAATAAATGTATGATGAAACATTTACTAAAATTGTCTTTTCCACAAAATAACCTTGTAAAATAGGGGGTGTGTCATATACGAGGGGTGTGTCTTTTACGCCGGCAAGTACGGTAATCGTGGCCATTAACCCTTGAGCCGCTAAGGGTCATAATGGCTTCAACACCCACAGGCGCAAAAAAAAAAAAAAAAAAAAAAACTTATAAAAGTGTTCATTTGTGTTCTCTGATCACAGGAAAAAAATTGTAGGTGGCATATTTTGGGTGCAATAGAGCGGGAAAGTGTAGCAAAGAAAGAGGCGTTGACAGCAGTCGCCAGACGAGGTTTGCTCCGTCCCAGCTGTCAGGCGGGGGTTGCCAAGATATTATAACCAAATTATTTCAATGTCTGATTTTTCAAAGGCAGGACCATGACCTCAATGCCCCAGGCCGATCAATTTCCTCATTAAGGTGATATCGTTCCACAACCATTTTCAGAAAAACATCTCTGGCACTTCCACTGACCTAAACTGATATTCACCAAAATGAAAAACTGCAAGTTAAAATTTGATCAAATATGATCTGTAGGAAATTACTTTGCCTAATGATTCTGATTCCACAGGGACCCCTTCCAGAATCTGAACTTTCTGAATAAAAATATAAATTTTGGAAGGAAAATCCAGTGGCCAAATTTAGTCTGTTGTTTAGAGGAGTCTGTTATTGGGAAGTGGAGCTTTTGGAGGTGCCACTGTATAATCTGTCATTATTTATGTAGTCAAATTCTGGATCTTAAAAGTAACCTATTTTCCCACAATCCTTTAAAAAATACTACAATATGTGTGATATCAGTCTCTGAAGGAACATCCCCACAAATACAGGAATATGCTAAGTCACAGAAAATATACTGTACCGAGACTTGTATCGTCTCCAAAGGAAACCAGTGTTTTTTTTCCACCAAGCAGAGAATATAAAAGCTTGCAAACAAATAATTGTTGTTTTTCCTGCATGTTTATACTGTAATAACATTAAAGAGTTGTAATCAAAATTACTGTTGTAGCAAATAACGATCAAAGAATTTCTTGTCAAGCTGTCAGGCACAGCACCATAACAATTGAAACCCTTCAACATTATTGAATAATCTTGATAATTATACAGAGGTAGCCTTTTAAAAGGACTCAAACTAATCTTAAGCCTATATTAGTAAAAACAGGAATGTTCTCTTATAAAGTGTATGAAATCTTTCTAGCCAAATATAGCAGTAACGTTAAGTAATAATGGTGTAGTGTTAGTAAACTACGTGCAGGCCGGGCTTTACCTTCTACCACCTCGTTGGTCACGAGGGGTATGTCGATCATACTCCTACGGGAAGCTGCGTGTGAAGTAATCGACACGCAGGTCAATGCATATATCTAATAATACAAATCTATAGAATTGGTGCAAGAACAAATTATATTCAATGTACTTGTACTGAAAATACAATTTTAAAATATTATGCTGAATTTCTATCAAGAATCCAGTAATATATATATCAATCAATTAAGTAGGTATTGCCTTCAAGAAAGCAATTATAAAATCAAAATCATACAAGTGTAAAGCACCTTGAGATAACATACAAGTGTAAAGCACCTTGAGATGTATTGCTAGTACCTGAGTAACATGAACTATGTAAGACAACTTAAAATGTCCAAAATAGATAAAAGGTCATGAAAACTCAAATCAATGATGGATATTTGCCAATATCTGCTATTCAAGGAATGTTTCCTAGTCCTATATGCCAGCCTCTCTCACAATACTAACAATAATATTAAAGGCTCTTAACAAATAATTTCTCTATTTTTCTATGGAAAGGTTGTTAGGCAATTATATACGGTGATGGGTTGACAGTCTGAGTAGGGTAGGAGTGGGTATGCATATGTACGGGTATGGGTGGGTGTATTTTGGTGGGGTAGGTGTTTACCTGTCAGCTTGTGCATCACTTTTTTAAATTGGGGATGGAATTTATAGACAACTTCCTTCAATCGATTCCAATTGTCGTACAGGGTACAATAATTTCATTCCATCTCTGTTTGGTTGAACATACAAATAATGGACTATTGCAACCAACAAAGTTCATGTGAAGTACTATTAACTTTGTAAACCATGCTGTGGGGATGTTTATCCTCAGAATCATCGACATGTAGTATATATTAGGCCTAGAGTTATGACTGGTACTTAATGTCTAGCATTTAATTATTATTATTCTAAATGTTTTGTTTTGTTATTTAATCCTTAGACAGCGGCTATGGAGAAATGGTCATACGTACAAAATGCACAAAAACCATTAAAACTTTAAAAAAAAAATCCATTTTAGAATTATTGATTTGTATACAAAATACAAGAAAAACATGAAAATAAGTGAATACAGTATTTATCATTTCACTGGGTGGAGGCACTCTGAAAGTCTGTATGGCACTTGTCAATGCCTGGTGCTCGATTTTGCTGACGCTTCCCAATTTATTCTGATGTTTCACCCATTGTGTTTAATTACATTCACAGAGCTTTTATATCCATATTTGCATCACGTGTAAAACCGAGACATTAATTTTTTAAATCTTCATATGATGATAACCGCATTACCCTGCGAGTCTACAGTTTATGATAACTGCTGTCAAAAAGTTAACACTTTCGTCCGGCAGGGACGGATATTGCATCCACAAATAATACTACGGATGTCTGGCGGGGATGCACGTTGCGTCCAAAATTTAAATATGTTAAAATTCCATTTCTTTTCTGATAATTATGGGACTAGTTTAAAAAAACGTGCCTTTAGATAGCAAACCATTTGATACCAGAATGAACGACGTAGCATGCAAATTGAGGTGAGAAAACTAAACAGAGTATACACATTTTAATATAGGTGTGCAGATTGGTGCCGGCTCGTGGGAAACGCTTCGCAGATTTTCTAGTTTGCTGCTGGTGGAGCACCTGTTTTTTTTATCTTATTTACATATATCCCTTTAGAAAATTCTATTGCAAACAAATTGACACCAAAATGAACGATGTAACATGAAAATTGATGTGAGAAAACTGAAAGGGTATGCACATTTTATTGTGGGTGCACGCTCACGGGAATCGCCAGACTCACCTTGGAGTTGGTTGGGGCACACACGCTGGGGCCGCAAAACTGTTAAAGGTCTATTTTATTTTTGACACTTAGTTTTTATTAAATTTGCCAGCATTTGCAAGTATGCCGAGCCAAGTAAAAGAATATTTATGTAAAGTACATTTTCTATGTGTGTTTTTGTGTAATGAGAGCTGGACTTATCTGACCGAGATGTGTTGGGTTGCACTTGTGAGGTCTGTACCTCCATAATGAGGTGAACAAATCCTCAAGGGCCATGACGAGGGTTCGAACCTACGTCCTAGAGGATCCCAGACGCTGTCTTAATCGACTGAGCTACGACATGGTTTAAAGAATTGCAACCGGGAAATCATCTCGACTTACCGACAGATCCTGCAGTCTCTCCGAGACAAACCAGGGTTTTACGCAATTCCCCCATGCACTCGAGCTATCTCAATAGGCTGTTCTACCTCTTTGCCCTTACTTCATTACACACAGAAATCACAATAGATTTCTGTGTGATTTCTATTGCGATTTCTGTGTGTAATGAAATAATGGCGAAGAGGTAGAACAGCCTATTGGCATAGCTCGAGTGCATGGGGGAACTGCGTAAAACCCTGGTTTGTGTCTCAGAGACTATAGGATCCGTCGGTAAATCAGGATGATTTCCCGGTTGTAATTCTTTTACATGTTGTAGCCCAGTCGATTAAGGCAGCGTCTGGGATCCTCTCTGATGCAGGTTCGAACCCTCATCACGGCTCTTGTGGATTTGTTCATTTGATGCATCATGCTATTATGATTTTTGTGTATAGTGTAGTGTGCAAAGTTCATAATGAGGTGTTTATCTCTGCTTTTCTCACATTAACACCGAGATCTGTGTACTCAAGCCGATTTATTTCCATGCGTGTTTTATGATGTGTTTTTAAATAAATTTAACACACACCTCATTAGTTTGACTAATACCTAAAGACAAAATAGTTGTGTGTTGGAATCCACTGGGACTGTCTTATATTTATTGAAGTGTCATTGTTATTTTATTGTGCTTATGTAAAATAATTAAAATAAATAATAAAATGTAAAGAACTGAGTATTCTCCCCCTTACACTAAAATTGTTGATTTAGCCTTGGACAATTTAGATTAGGTTCGTTAGGTACCGTTTCATTTTTTATTGTATGTTATTTTCGGTAATCCCATAGTACAAAATTTTTTTGGGCTTGGCAGTACATTATTGTACGTTTGACCAAATAGCTGCAACAAGTACTGTACTATCATGTTTGGAGGTTAGGCTGGCATATCCAGCTTTAACCGATCCCACTTTGTTTTCCTTCCTCTCAATTTAATTAAGTTACTCTTATCTGCCTTTCTGATTTCCCTCAGTGGCTTATATCCTGTGTATATAAAGGAGAATATATATATTTTTTTATTCGATATTTAATTATTTGCAAGTCGAAAAACTATCTGGCAGGAAGATAAGTTTGGTAGACCAGGTTGGGGGAAGAAGAGGTGTCCAAACACAGACAAAGGCTAAACACAAGAATTAAGAAAACTGCACAAGGCCAAATGTCCCATATGAGGAAACTCATATCCACCCAAACTCCTTCACTGCAAAAAGAAGCAAATCCATCAATTTTTGGGTGTTTAGTAAAGAAAATTCCATCTAGGACAGACAGCAGAAGAAAAAAATCACTAAGAAAAAGAGTAGGTTCAGGAGAGGGTGTTATAATCTAGAAGAGAATGAGGAAATAAAATGGTTGCAAAACTATTTTAGGAGAGGACACTATGGGGGAACAAAGCAAATTCCTTAATGAATTTCATTTAAAAAGAACTTGTTATAGTGTAAGGAAGCAAATGCCAAATTGTGAAATTTATTTAGTCAAAGTCTTTGGGACTCCTGACAGCTGGGTGAACAGCGCTTCGGATTAGTAGTCCTGAGGTTCCGGGTTCAATCCCCGGTAGAAGCGGAGACAAATGGGCAAAAATGTTTCTTTCACCCTGATGTGCCTGTTACCTAGCAGTATAGGTACCTGGGAGTTAGACAGCTGCTACGGGCTGCTTCCTGGGGGTGTGACACAAAAAGGAGGCCTGGTCAAAGACCAGGCCGCGGGGACACTAAGCCGCGAAATCACCTCAAGATAACCAAGAAGATAAAAAAAATTGAATACCAAAACAGAGATGCAGAACGAGAAAACAGAATTGGTTCAACAGAAATTGCAAGAGGGCCAAAGAACAAGACAAAAATGTATTTGATGTAGGAAAAGGCTTAACCCTCAAATGTAGTAGCAATACAAACCAAGCAACAGCTACAAAGCCATACAAAGAGAGGCAGAATGAAACTTTAAGAATGGGTTTCATTCCATTTTGATAAACTTTGAGAATAGCAGACAAATGTAAAACAGAACCAAGCCTTTTCTATAAATTTACTTTAAGAAAACTTCATGTAAAGGAAAAAATCTTAGAGATTTAAAATGGGGAACAGATTCAGAGAATGGAAAGGAATTATGTGATCACTAGCAGTTCCAAAGTGTGCACGCAAAATGAAGTTTCCAGAGAACCAGACAAAATGTCAATTTCAGAAAACACCATGGAGTACACAGAGGTGTCTTGAGATGAAATAATAAAAACACTCAAGGAGCTAGGAAGGAACAAAGCAGTTGGCCTAGATGAAGTTTCACCTTGCATTCCAAGAGAATGTGCACCTGAGCTGATCATTCCACTTCCAATTGATATTTTAGGCATCTTTATATACATGAATCTTACTTCACAGATATGAAAAAGGCACCTAGTTCCACTCTACAAAAATGGCAGCAGAGAAAACTAAATTATAGATCTATATTTTTACCGGACAAGGAAGCATGGTAATCAAAACTAGAAAAAATAGTTAAATGGGTAGAATACCTGGAGAGAAATGATACAATTAAGTATGGGTTTCAAACAGGAAGATACTGTGTAACAAGTCTACTTCCATTTTATGATAAGAGCCACAGAAATTTTACAGGAAAGAGACAATTAGGTTAACTGTATTTATATAGACCTAAAGTGCTTTTGACAGTCTCAAACAAGAGGTTCATCTGGAAACTAGAATATGCAGGAGAGGTGACAAGCAGACTGCCAACATGGATGAAAAATGTCATAACTGACAAAGACGAGGGCAGTAATCAGAGGCACTGTATCAGACCGAAGAAGTGTTACTACGGGAGTACCACAGCATTCATTTCTTGCAGCAGTAATATTCATCATCTATATAAACGATCTACCAGAAGGAATACAGAACTATATGAATGTGTTTGCTGATGATGTTAACCTACTAGAGAAGATAAAGACAATTGTCATGCTATTCAAAATGACCTGGACAAAATAAGTATGAGCAATACTTAGCAAATGGATTTCAATGTGAATAAATGCCAAGTTATAGAATGTGGACTAGGAGAAAGTAGGCCACACAACCTTAAAATTATACAAAAAGGCATTAAAGAACTGGCAAAGATCTCAGGGCAGCTCTAGATAGCAGACTTTCACCGGAGAACCACAAAGGACAATGGAAAGCATAGCGTATGCTCTTTGCACAACCTCAGAATCACTTAAATACATGGATGGTTAAATATTAAAGAACCTGATAATGATTTTTGAACAGTTGGAACAGTTGGACTTTGAACAGCTGCAGTGGTTACATGGTGTCCATATCTTAAGAAACACATCAATAAACTGGGAAAGGTGCCAAAATGTGCTACAAAATGGCTTTTGAAACTGAAAACAAGAGCTGTGAAGCTAGGGGCATTAAATATGCCAAAGTTAGAAGACAAGAAAAAGAGGCAATATGATCACTACACACAAGATAGCAACATGAATCGCCAAAATTAACAACAGGAATTCTTGAACGCTGCAACTTCAAGAACAAAAGGCCAAAGATTCAAGCTAAGGAAACAACTGTGCCGAAAAAATATTAGAAAGTACTGTTTTGCTAGTAGTAGCTAGCTGGAACAAGTTGGGAAGGCAGTGGATACCAAAACTGTCAGTAGTTTCAAAGAGTCATATGACAAGGAGTACTGGGAAGGTGGGACACCACAAGCACAGATCATTCTTTAACTACACCTAGGTAATTACACTTAAGTAATTGCATGCATGTCTAAACTATGGTTTAAACCACTTTCATGTTGGTGCTTTACCCCCTTTCTCAAATAGTCAGAACAGTACTGTTTGCAAAGCCTAAGAAAAATTCATTGGGCTCAAAATTTGCACGATATTGCTTATGTAGTTTACCGTACTGTTGCTCATAGCACAATCAACGATCATTATGAATGTTACAACAAAACTCATTAAGGAGTGTAACAGTTAAACTTTTCATATTTGCATTATTACATCAAGAAAATAAATGCTTACATTCATTAGGACCCCTTATTGATAAATTTCCAAGGGGCCAAAAATACAGACCAGTTTAAATTACTGTATTTGCAATTCAGGAATGATACAAGTCATATTTTGGAGGTTACAATGTTAGCATTGTATTCTATGCATGCACGAGTACAGAAACTGAAATGCATCAGACCGTGAGTGCACCTTCCATACTCGTGGTCAGAGTGATTATCTACCAATATTTATATCCTTTGACACCCGTTTCATTGTGAACTTCCCTTTCAAAATGACTGACTTCATATGGAACATTCACCATACATATAAACCTCCTGCATCAAGAGTTGAATAAAACTGCACATATTTGATTTTGTAGCAAGATTGAAGCAGCCACCAGCATAGATAACATTAGATAGTCTGCACAAACTAAAAGTTGCACAAACTGAATAAGAAATTTTACTGGAACAAAAATGGACTTAAAGAAATACTATGCACAATGCTAACTCTAGCTAGAACACTTATCAGAATCCTTGTCATTAAATCCTGGATACGAATCATTTTCCACGTTAATTTTCTAAAAACACGAGGTCTTGTTTCACTAGTAGATGCACCAAACCATGGCTGTGTGCTGTGGATGTCTGCCTCATGCAGTGTGTGGAAACCACCATTGGGTTCACTGATATTTGAACATCACCACCAATGTTAAATAATCACAGTTACCTATTTATTTCATCATTATTAATTGATGCTGTGGCTATGAGCTGTGTGGTAGTGCTGCATGTGCTGCTCATGGTTGCCCTCTCAGTACTGAGGTTCTCGCACCCAGGATGGGTGCACAATTTTTTCCCCAAGATTTTGTCCATTTACTGGAGGCCTCACGAGGCAGATGCGAGGCCTGTATACACGTGAGTTTTAAATCTTATGTGGTACTTTAAAACATCCCTGAACACATTGCACAGCTTACAGATAATTAGTGAGAACATCCCTAGCTGTGTCACATAGTTGAAGGGTTAAAGAAAATTGTATGAGCACTTTTACAATTTAAGTAAGTTCTTTGAGCATATTTTCCATAAAACTTAAGAGGCCCATCACCAAGTAAAACTAACAAAATATTAAGTCTCTTACTGGAATCATCCTTCAGGAGAACCTTATCCGACATGGTGAGGCGTGAAGCTTGGGAATTGGAGGCAGTGCGCATCGAGGAGTAAAGAACACAACAGAACCAGATGACCAACGAGGCAATGGACTCTGCATCGAACGAGGGTTTCTCTGTCTTCAAAGATAAAACCTGCCTTTATTTTTCAATCTACTTCAATAATTTACATTAAGAAAATTATAATATTTAATACAAGTTTTCTTAAACATTAAACCTTAACTAAATATTAATACATGCACGATATTTCACAATCCTTTACTGTACTAGTAAACCAGAGACATTACTGGAGGGGGAGATGTAGATCCTTCACCATGGATAACTGAAACCCAGTCAGGTTTGCATTCATGATCAGGCGTGTTGGTCATGGCTGACCATGTTAAGTACATGGTGTATAGTGTGATGACAGAGGCCTGGAAAATAAATACAAAGTTTGCATCATAAGCTACAATTTAAACTTTTAATTAAATAAAAATAAAATCTTTATAGCACAGAATAAGGGCCAGAACATTTCTGAAAAATCATGGTTTCTTGACAAAGGTTTTTGTATTTTCACTATCAGCTGATAATTTTTTTATAGATTTTTCTCATTTTCTATCTCACTCTGCTCTTTCTAAAGATAACTTCCAACTGACCCGTGATTAAGATTGCACGAGGCAGCTCCACATTCTGTGTTAACATAGCAGGGGACTTGGCAAAATTGTTCCCACTGGGTTGTAATGGCACTAGGAAGAACTAGAGAACACTCAGTCCAGTCCAGAATGCATCTAAAACATTTTCACGTAACAGTCTCTCTAGACACTACTGAACATCCTAGCCATCAACTGAATGGCTAACAAGGTAATTACATGCAACCATCATCAGTTGGAAGCCCCAACAACACAACAATAACCCAGACTAGCACCAGTGGCAGGTTTTAATGCTAGAGACCATAACATTTTAGTGATGGGGTTTGTGTTATCCTTGAGAACTTTTAGTTTTATTGGTGCAGTGAATTTGGACTACATTATTGAATGCTGCTTGTGTAGCCAAAACCATCGTTTATAAAAATTAACATTTATATTGTAGGGGTGAGCAAAATGAGAATTGCTAGTTGAAGTATTGCGGAACAAACACTTATGTATTGCTAGTAGTGGCCAGCATAGAGTAGCCAGGGTTACGTTACCTGTAACATCAATGTCTCCGAAACCTAAAAGGCAACTAAAAAAATTAATCACTTTGGTACTATAGAGCTAATGGATTATTGTACTTATGGGTTACTTATTAGGCCAGGAAGCTTGTTAGGCTTATCAAAGTCTTCCTGGGTCAATAAGTAATCCATAAGTACAATAATCCATTAGCTCTATAGTACCAAAGTGAATAATTTATTTTAGTAGCCATTTTTAGGTTTAGGAGACACCTATTGATGTTACAGGTAACGTAACCCTGGCTACTCTATGCTGGCCACTAGTAGCAATACGTAAGCGTTTGTTCCGCAATACTTCAACTAGCAATTCTCATTTTGCTCACCCCTACAATATAAATGTTAATTTTTATAAACGATGGTTTTGGCTACACAAGCAGCATTCAATAATGTAGTCCAAATTCACTGCACCAATAAAATTTAGCTCTTTGGTGCTTTGCTCCAAGACATTGTGTTTCAGATATGCAATTATTATACCCTTTCAGTTCCAGTTGTGCAAATCCAGTTCATGTGCTAGATTAAGTCTACAGTCTTCCGCTTGCATCAACATTACCAGCAAGGGACAGTTTGAAAATTTCCTGTTGTGCCAGTGTGGAATGTTTATCCACCCTGACTGAGCTAGATCATAACCAGGGGTCAGTAGGAGCTTATCTTAAGATGCCACCAAGTGCAGTGCCCAGAAAAGAACTTCTCAGATGTACTTAAAACCTGACTTATACTTTGCACATAAAAAAAATTTGGGCGTCATTCCAGTTCCTTAAAATTGTACAGAGTATTGTGATATGAACTATTGAGGATCCAATGTACAAGAATTTTCAACATACTGACCAGGAATAAGATTTTAAAATATGTATATTGGTATTTTAAAAATCAACATTCAAAGTAGCAAATTTAATTTTGACAGTACTACAGCCAATATCCATAGTTTGCTAAAACAGCGTGGTACTATACTGGGGTACACATTGTGTCTACATACCTGCAAGAGCCCTGAACGAGGCTGCGATTCTTGGATCTTGGGCAAGATGCTCACAGTACTGATGATAACACACAAAATCAGGTTGAAGGAGATGAAAAACTTGTGAAGACTGCAACTCTCAGTCTAAGAGTACAGAAAGTCAAACACTTGAGCAACAGAAGAAAACAGCACATCAAGAGCAAGCAATTATCTACCAAGCACTTAAAAACACCAATAACAACAAATCATACTTTATCAGAAAATATATTTGCCTAGAAATTTAAAATACAAAATTTATTCATCTCACACAAGTTAATATGCAAACATGTTTTCTCCAAATACACACTATTATTTTTGTAACTTATGTTCATCAACTTTAACACCAATTATTTTACTGTCAAAATTAACTTCAAGACCAATTGTCGTCCATAAAAAATATACCCAACAATGTAATGCAAAATTTTTTAAAATAAACAAACTAGGATATCATAACTTACCGTTGTGTAAAAGACGAAGAAAAGAACAACGGCAGCAATGGCCAGAGCATAGTTGAGGAAAGTGAAGAACAACAGGGCACAATACCTGAAATGATAACACAGCCACTTGATATTTGTCCATCACAGCTGACCCTCGTGTCCCTGGGCCCCTACACCAGACATATTTCACAATACTGAGCAAACAATATTTTGAAGATACAAAATCATAATTGGTCACCAAAAAGTCTGATTACGAAAAAAAAATATGCATTTTAAATGAGAAACTTTCAAGATTGCCATGAATTACATCTCTAGTTCATTTAATAACGCAATGAACTTCAGTAAACAGTAAAAGATAATTATTAGCATATTAGAAAGCTAAAAAAAACATACCAGCCACGACTCTCCGTTTCCTCATACTTGTCGACCCAAGATTCAGCCCAGGAGTGTGCAAAATCAATGATGAGCACCAATTGTATAAGGATAAACAGGAACCCGCCAATCATGCCAAAGTACATCCAAACTTCTCCAAATTGTCCTCGTGGGATGAAGAATGCTCCAATGATCGCACCAATCAAGATTAGATATTTGATTGCCCAAAATCTGTAACAGGCAATTATTCATAATATAACTAAATACTTTACCTCCAATGTATGGTACAAGAGTAACCTAAAGATGTAAAAACCGAGCTCGAGATATCAATCATGAAGTTTACGAAGACCAAAAACAAACCGACAATTACACCTTGGATAATTATTGGAATATAAATAAAAGGTAAGGATCAGGATAAGGAGATTGGACGAGGTGGTGGGGGGAAGGAATGGTGCCCAACCACTTTGACAGTCATGGCTTTGGATGGTGACCTACATGAAGGGAGACCATTGTGCTCTACCATTCAGCCCAAGTGGTTGGGCAGCCTTATGGGGGAGATGATGATTGTGGATTTCCAGTTCAAGATCCTTTCCCCTCATTACAGGGAATATGGGGATATCTGCACCAATCAGAAGGTGGGTGGGTGGTTTGGATCATATGTCAAAATTATGAATATACAGCCTTAAAACTATAAATCTTGTATCAAGAAGATAAATACATAAATACAGAACATAAATACAGGGCCTCGTAGCCTGGTGGATAGCGCGCAGGACTCGTAATTCTGTGGCGCGGGTTCGATTCCCGCACGAGGCAGAAACAAATGGGCAAAGTTTCTTTCACCCTGAATGCCCCTGTTACCTAGCAGTAAATAGGTACCTGGGAGTTAGTCAGCTGTCACGGGCTGCTTCCTGGGGGTGGAGGCCTGGTCTAGGACCGGGCCGCGGGGACACTAAAGCCCCGAAATCAACTCAAGATAACCTCAAGATAACATCATTATACTGTATAGATACAAGCAGTAAAACCCAGGTTAAACTCTTGCCTTGTACAGTACAGTATTGACAAGCAATGTTTAATAGCAATATTACTCCTATCAATCTGACAAACTAGCCTAGGTTCCCCGACTTGACAATAACATTATAAACTATACAAAAACTAAGTAAATTGATTCAGTGATCCTGATCATAGTAACAAAATTCAATACTGGCACCAATGATAGAAGTTAACATTTCATTAAATGCTGAAAAAATGCTAATACTGTACATGAAAAACAGGCAGGGTTAAGTAATCAATGAAAGTGAAAATCTTCTATTGTCATGAAAAACTAATATTCAAGGCAGGAAACTTTAGAATATTATATTATGTTGCCCTCACATTTTATCAGCAACAGCTACTACTCTTAGAATAGTGCCTTACTACATGTACCAAGGTTAATCAAGAAAAATGTTATTATGAAAGAAGAGATTTGACATTTACTTTTATTAATTGGATATAATAATAGGTTATTTAGAGCTTAATTAGGGAGACTTACTGCTATGATCCTCGCTCTTATCATTGAATACAGGAGCCATGATCTGGTACGTGTTTACCTTAAAAAATGTGCGAGACCTTTATTTTTATTTCCTGCTTATTTTTTTTATATTTTTATTTCTGTGATAAGTCCTGCATTGTATTAGATTATAATTAATAGAATTACAGGGTTAGTTTATACATGTTTTCATAAGGTAGTGTGTTTGCATCTTTCAACTTAAATGAAGACAGGTTACTCACTCTAAAATACCCGCCATTCTTGATTTATTTTCTACCAGACTTGAGAGTACCCAGTATTTGGCACGCTTGGCTAGTTTAGATATACTATGTTGATGTGTTGTCTAGTACATTATAAAGTTAAGATGTTACATTTATACTAAGAATTGAATTGTGGCAATTAAGGATTTCAGAAGAGGTTTGAGTAATAGTGTTACAATATGATCAGTTTACCAAACTGGAACCAAGGCACATAGATGATGATGTGATGGCCAGGACTGGTTGGTGTGGTCTTTTTCCCCCCTAGTTAAGTACTCCTAGTGTTAAGTATCTGAGCCACCACTATTCTGGTTATAGTGTTGCATGTGGTGCCTTTGCTGGAACTTGGGGGATCCTGTAAGCTGGAACCCAGACACCAACAAGTAGAGCACCTGTGTCTTGGGTTAAGTTTAGACTGACCTTTAAGGGATCAGGGAGCCGGTCGGCCGAGCGGACAGCACGCTGGACTTGTGATCCTGTGGTCCTGGGTTCGATCCCAGGCGCCGGCGAGAAACAATGGGCAGAGTTTCTTTCACCCTATGCCCCTGTTACCTAGCAGTAAAATAGGTACCTGGGCGTTAGTCAGCTGTCACGGGCTGCTTCCTGGGGGTGGAGGCCTGGTCGAGGACCGGGCCACGGGGACACTAAAGCCCCGAAATCATCTCAAGATAACCTCAAGATAGATCATAAGCCTGCCACTAGCTTGCTATGTACATCTTGCCTCCTTTTTGGAGTCAGAGATTTAACATAAAGCAGAATGTGGTAGTACATTTTTATATTACTTGGGGGATTCATTAATTAATAAATGGTGTAAGCTTTAACTGGCATTTACCTCTTCCCTTGTCTAAAGTTAGGCAGTCATTTTCAAGAGCAGACATTTTATTTAGCAGATTATCATATTTTGAATTGTGGAACTAATTCTTAGGGGATCAGGCCTTGCCTAACATCTCTAAGTGGCATTCTCGGTTAGCATTCATTACACTGTCCATATACAAGTCCCAAATGATAACAAATGCTAAAATTCATCAAATAAAATAATGCTTTAAAACACACTAATCTGGATTTCCCACAAAATGTGAAATGGAGGAATACAATGTCATCATTGTCATGGATATAATGTAATGTCATTACCCATTCTGTATTCCAGCTCGAGGGTCTTTACTCGACTTGACTCCAATCATGAGAAGAGCCATGAAGAAGAAGAACAATGTCATCGCAAAGCACAGACGGTAAACTGCCAAGTAGCCAACCACCTGGAAAGTAAAGGAAGCACAAATTATTAATCATTTATCATTTCAAGCAATTTTTTTACAAATTTCAACAATAATGTTATTTACTGTGTTTGCTGGCGTAAGATATTTCGGTATTTTTTTTTTTACATTTATTTCATCATAAATTAATTCAAAGTGATTTTAAAGTGGTTTTGTTAAGAAAATGATTTTGTGCATGTAAATACACACATTTGGACGATTGTGAACAGAACTCGCGCATTCTATTCAATGCCAAATACTGTGCATTACTTCCTCAAAACTACCCAATCATTTGGGCTGAACAGGAGAGCGACGATCTCGCTTCATGCAGGGCACCATTCCCTTTCCCCTTCCTATCCCAAATCCTTATCTCTTCTAAGTACTACATAGTCATAAAGGCTGGGCACTTTCTGCTGGAGAAATAAACCATTTCCTCAAACTTGTCCATCATACAAAACTTTTTAATTTTTACAAGCTATTCCTGCAATTTATTTTGTACATAAAATTTTAAACCACAAGATGGCCAAACAACCAATTCTTTGAGTAAGGCACCACTCAGAAGCATGCGACCAAATCTAGGCAGAAGTGAGTGGCAAGCCCTGGAGAGTTGCTACTACAACTGAACTTCTATATCAAAGCCTTGGTTCCCTTTTATAAGAGAAAGCATGTTGTTAGCAGTCAATAAAAGTATAATCTCAGAACTTTAAATTTAACACATCATTGCAAATAAATATAAACTGGATCACTATACTGTCCTATCTTAAAAACAAGTGATACTACTACCTCTCACTTTCACTTAAAATTTGCTCTGTGCTTTAATAAGCTTTTTAAGCAAATGAAAACTTTACCTCAAAAAATAAAAATGGTAGCAATGCAATAGGACATTAAATTTAAGACACCCACCTCAGTACAATCCACCTTTACACCCTCCGATAGCCCATCCAATAGTGAAGGTGCACTGCTTTCCCCATTACCACAAAATGGTACCTGGAAATAAAAAGTGAATTAAAACCTGCATTCATGCCCTAATGCAATGAAGCAAAAATAAGTTATCACAAGGAGCCTACCAAGCAGATATCAGCCTGCTTCTTGCTGCACATGACAATTCATGAAAGGGGTGAAGAAATGCGAGTAGTTGCACACACTAGTGTGGACAAGTCGTGTCTAGTCATTAGACTAAGTCAAGTATCCTACAACAAAAGCATTGGGCTTTTGTTGTAGGATACTGTATTCGAATACTGTACTGTATTCAAGACTCGAGCAGATGGGCACAAAAAGCCTTCTGGAACGAATCAAGTTTGAGTACAAAAGTTCAACCGTTTTGTTAAGCATGGTTGAACACAAATATACACAAACATACACAAATAAAGGTTATTGCACATTGTTCAATAACCCAATGGCAAACTCCACAATTTTGATTTCTGTCTGAATCAAGCGATACTAAGATTACCTCAACTTTGGCTGAATTACCCAGAGATTCAAGTTACCAAGCTTCAGGAGAGAAAGCACTCACTATACATGTTAATACATTACTTCTGCTGTACCCGCCTTCTAAGAGGCCATTATTTACCTTCAAGTCATTATTTATAAACTCAATCCCACATTATCTACAGTACTGTACATGAAAGCTACAAGAATTATATAAACTAATTATTATGTTGCTTTGGAACTAAGCACAATAACAGGATATTCAAACCAAACATCCGAAAATGAAGAAATGATTGCCATTTCTTCATTTTCTGGTGTGGTTTGGATATTATATTTTCAGTCATGTTACTGAGACTCGTCATTTGCACAAGCACAATAACAAATGTTTCAGCCAATTATTTACAACAAATAAAATCCTATACAGTAATTATACATAACTACATACAATGTAACAGTACAGTACTGATCAATATTGCATTCAGAACCCCTTTCCCTCAAACAAAATACATTTTTCACCTTCTGTAGAGCATTCTCAAGGCCAGGGGAAAGCATGATGCAGGCCACAATAGTACCCATCAGCATCATAATGGCATACATGATGCGAGTCGAAGTGGAATTCTTGCATGATGGACATGCCGAGCAGCACAAACTGCATGCAGCTGATCCACAGCAGCATGCCAGCTGCAAATATATCAAATATTAGCCTACATGGTATGACTGTACTAAACAATTACAAAATACTGTACAATTTTTGTTTGTAATATAAACTATGGACAAAGCAGCTAGTATGCAAAACACTCCAGTTTTACTGTACCGCTCTTGTACTACCGATGTGCTTATAGATTTTCAGACCTGGCTTAAGATGAATATTGGGAATATGTGAAGCTGTGTATAGTATGGGTGAATAGAATTATGATCTAGACTAATGTGAAATATAATGGCTATAAAATGAAAATATGAATTAAATGATCAGTGAACAACTTGTTAATCTAAGAAAATAATAAGTATAAAGAATAAATATTGATATTAGCTTAATTATATAGTACAGTAGGAAACATCAAGGATGATCATTCAATACAGATGGGGATAATCTTAAGACTAAATGCTTTGGACATCACATGGTAAAAATCTTGCCCTGTTGCAAATAAAGAAAAATGACTGGCAAATTAGTTGGCAGTGCTCTGCTGTACCCTAACTAAGCCTAATCTTACCACACCCAAACTAATCTACAAATAAACTACACGAGCCCCAAAATAAACAAAACGTTTGTTTTATATAGAGCACAGCGCGTAGGAGGAGGATCTTTGAAAGCCACTGGCTTCCACTTCCCATGATTGTTGCTAAATAAATGGTAGCCCTCGGGTAAAAACGGGCCTCAAGACTATTTGTGTTACATCACTAAACACTAAATGAACCTATAAAAAATAGAGAGCAATAGATAAATCTGAGCTTTTTATTCATAGTGTGCAAAGTTGTGACATCAGTAGACATTCTGGTTGCATCTGGGGATGTTTCGAAACACTAGCGAGCAAAGGAGCCCCGACATTATATATTATAACCTTAGTGGCAGTATTGATAATGTCACACTGACAGCATATGACAATGTCAGTGTGGCATTAAGCGTATTATACGTTTAAACATGGGATAATTGGTTAATTTTCAAATTAAACATTTTCTGCCAATACCTATAGCTCTGCACCCCATATTGCTATTCACTGCAGCATTATTAAATATTCATTTACTAAATAATTCCCAATACAGTACTTGTGCGTCTGGCACGACTGCTGCATCACCTGACCTGGGGCTTCCTCTTAATAACACGGAAAAAAAAATCGATTAATTCCCGATATTCAAGAGCATCTTGCGCCCAGTGAACTCACCTGAGCAGCGCCACATATGCCTAACACTGCCCCCATTTCCTGAAACTTCCAAAACCTGTCTTGTTGTGGTATATATGGCTGATAGACCAGACGAGGAGAACCACTCGACGACGACTACGGAAGACCTTTGTTGTTGCTATACACGATGACGTCATGGAACGGAGGTTCAAAAAGGACCAAAAGTTATCCCGTCTACGTCATCGCTATTCTTTAAATAACCCTTTTTATTCTAAGCTAATCTAGCCTAAACTAACCCTCGCCTTATATATTCTAACCTAACCTATAAAATTTAAGATAAAAGATCGATGTTATTTGTTAGCATATAGTCTGTGATGGTGTGACGTCACACAGCTCACCTTCAAGGATCTTTTTGGATAGTGCTGAGTAAGTATACAGAGCTGCCAACTTTGCGCAGTTGCGTGAATGACCTCAAATCAGGAGTTAATACAAGTTTGAAGTAATTAAACTTTATAGCATCTTACTGCATTAAAAGATAATTATTTATAGTAGGGAATAGGTAGCGTAGGGATGGCACTAATATGATGTTGACAATTGGGTTCATGTTGGTATGCTATTGACAGACATCAATGCCAATACGCACAATACCTAAATAATCGGGCGCATCTCTGATCCCCTCAACCAATAACATAAATAATCAATTGCAATATATATATATTAAATTAATCCTACTCTTAATGATACAGCTTTACTGTAAGAGAACGTTTGCATATAGTAGATTATGGGCAGAGTGTATATAATTATTCAGTGGAGCATATTTATCTGCAGCATGTATACAGCGCAGTAGTTATATTAGTCAGCGCAGTGTACTCAACTAGCTGCATCTCTAGGGTTCAGTGCCTGCGCAGTTATGATTGAGATCATGTATTACAAAGTCCATACCCATCCTGTGAGGGCGATGGAAAAAATTACAGAGGCAAGGCATATTCCTAAGCCACAAAATTCGTATTACCTGTACTATATCAATCTCTGTTGAGAAAACCGCAGTATTTCAGGAAATTAGGGATGGCAGAAGAACAGTCTCTGACACTGAAAGGCCGATGATCGATTGATAAAGATTAAGCCACCCAAGAAGTGGCACGGGCATGAATAGCCCGTAAGTGGTGGCCCTTTTGAGCCATTACCAGTATCAAGAGATGATACTGGAGATCTGTGGAGGCGCGACTGGCTTAGACTCGGTTACAAGTATCTCTGGGAATTCTCATTATCTTCTGATGTAGACCCGACCAAATGTAAACTGTGTCAACAAAATTATTCGCACACCCTCCGTCACTATGTGATGGAGTGCAAAAAGATACGTGAATTTAGAGACAATTCTATAACCAATGTTCCAGCGATGTGTCAATATTTCCTTCAAAATGATCTGCTACCAGAAATTTTAGCCAAATATCCCCAGTTTGCTAACTGTAGGTAGTAACTGAGTAATTGTAACCTATCCACCGCTGCCCACTGGATGGAGGGGCGGTGTGCAGGACAAACATAAATTGAGACACTAGCTCTCCACATATGCACCATTTGGTCACCACTTGGTCCGGGAGACATCTCCCGGCACGCAGGGTGCAGTTGCGCCTCCACAGATCTCCAGTATCATCTTTTGATTCTGGTAATGGCTCGAAAGGGCCACCACTTACGGGCTATTCATGCCCGTGCCACCTCTTGGGTGGCTTAATCTTCATCAATCATCAATCTACTCATCCACGGGAGACATTTCCCGTCACGCAGGGTGCAGTCGCACCTCCACAAATCTCCAGTATCATCTATTGATACTGGAAATGGCTCAAAAGGGCCACCACTTATGGGCTATTCATGCCCAAGCCACCTTTTGGGTGGCTTAATCTTCTCTCTCTCTCTACTCATCACACCATTTGGTCCGGGAGACATCTCCCGTCACGCAGGGTGCAGTCGCACCTCCACAGATCTCCAGTATCATCTATTGATACTGGTGATGGCTCAAAAGGGCCACCACTTACGGGCTATTCATGCCCGTGCCACCTTTTGGGTGGCTTCATCTTCATTTTTTTTTCTTCTCCACATATGTCAGTTGCTTAATTTGGAACCTGTACTTGAGGTCGATCTCGAACCCATTATTGATGTGACGACTTATATTGAATTTTGTAACTAGCTCATCAAGATTGTAACTTGCTTAGCTAAATGAATTGTGGGGTTCAGTCCCTGAGCCCATTATGTGCCTCTGTAACCCTTTCCACTACCGCCCACAAGAAGGGTATGGGGTGCATAATAAATGAACTAAACTAACCCTGCGTGACGGGAGATGTCTCCCGGACCAAATGATGACCAAATGGTGACCGAAAGGCCAGAAAGCACGAGTATAAATATTTATAATGTTTATAACCGAGAACTATATGTACGGGCAGAACAAAACATTCACTACATTTTGCCTCATTCAAAAACAAAAACAAAAAGTACCTAATTTCATCTTTTTTTTTTTTTTTTTTTTGAGATATATACAAGAGTTGTTACATTCTTGTACAGCCACTAGTACGCGTAGCGTTTCGGGCAAGTCCTTAATCCTATGGTCCCTGGAATACGATCCCCCTGCCGCGAAGAATCGTTTTTTCATCCAAGTACACATTTTACTGTTGCGTTAAACAGAGGCTACAGTTAAGGAATTGCGCCCAGTAAATCCTCCCCGGCCAGGATACGAACCCATGACATAGCGCTCGCGGAACGCCAGGCGAGTGTCTTACCACTACACCACGGAGACTGCTAAATCTTCATAGTTTCCTATTCTGTGCTTTAAAATTGCTCTGTATCTAGTGTTACCCAATCTCCCAATCTTTATGTACTTACTCCAAACAACTTTACCATTGTGATCTTTGCTGTCTTCTTATATGTGCTAGCAATATGTCGTATTGTGCCTATTAATCTTTGTTAAATTACCGTTCAAGCTGTCAATGTAATCAATCTGAGCTACCTATGTGCTTTAATATACCTACAAATCTCTCTTATCTCATTTTTTTTCTTGCAATGTACCAGTTATCATTTTATAAATTTTGCTAGTATTTACCTACTTAAAATTTTATGTTAGATTAAGGACCTGCCCGAAACGCTGCGCGTACTAGTGGCTTTACAAGACTATAATCACTATGCTATGTATCCTCACAATCCCAATGTACCTTCTTGTATATAAGTGTGTATATATATATATATATATATATATATATATATATATATATATAAAATATATATATATATATATATATATATATATATATATATATATATATATATATATATATAAAATATATATATATTTCCGCATATATAAAATATGCGGAAAATCCACAGAGAAATGGAAAGAGATAAACGCTTCGGCCAATCTTTGTCAACATCGGACTCAAAGAAATCACAAAGGAAGAGTGGAGGCAGACATTAGATCCAGACCACCATCTCCTGGGGAAAGAATTAACCAGAAAAAGGTATAGATTAGCTTAGAGTGGTCAGAAGGATTTAAGCGGTAAGAATAAAAGATTAAAGAAAAAGCCTCATTGAACCCACATAAAATATATTAATATAATATTGTTATGAGACAATGTAACTCTCCCTATCATAGTTTTTTCTTAAACTGTTGTGCAATATTGTAACTTAAAACTGGGTCAAATTTGTACATACCAGTACTAACATTGAGAAGATTTCTTTGGGACTGTGGACAGGATAATTGAACTCCGGCTTAGTAATTATATATCATCCACACAAGCTGAACTGCAGGCCATTCTGGCGTGTTTGGAGGAAGTACGTCATGACGACAAAAATGTTTTTGTATTTGTCGATAGCCGAGGAGCACTGGAGTCCTTAAACAGTAGAAACCCAGTCTTCATGTCTATAGTGGAGGACTGTAAGAGAAGAATAACTGAGATACAGCTGAAAGGTTATAGTGTGAAATTCATGTGGATTCCATCTCATGTTGGAATAGTGCTCAACGAGGTGGCGGATGACTTGGCCAAACGTGCCACATCAAAACCACAAGTTGACATTGAATGTGAATTCACAATGAGACAAATAAGAAGCAAAATCAGAAATATTCAGGCACAGGCGGGAGTGGAGAGGAGAGAGATAATGTATGAGAGTAGTCAAACCATGCAACACTACATGTATGTGAGTCAAAACACCCATTTCACTTATGGTAAAAGGAGAAATGCTTGGAGTGACTCTGTGTACATGCGGCTCAGGCTTGGGTACAAATATTACTGGGAATATGGGATAGATGTTCATGGTAATGACACGAAGTGTAAACTATGTGGTATGTTAAGGTCTCACACCCTTGCCCATTATATTCTTGATTGTCCGTTGATTAGTGTATATAGAAACACTGAGATAAGGACTGTTCCTGAACAAATAGCCTGGATGTGTCACAACGGAAAGGTTGATGATATTCTTGAGAGATATAAGAATTTTGCACCAAGATTGTAATATTTTGTTGAATTATCTGCAGGTGTCTTGCAAATTGTCTATACAGTATACCTAGGTCATAAAAGTATTTGTGTGTACGTCTGATACCATACTCCTTGTGAGGGAGGAAATGTATATTTTTACCTCTCAGAATGTTTGGTAATATGTTTATTTGTGATGTGTGTATATGTATATATTAACACGTTGTACTGAACGGGGTGAGAATAGCTTGAGCTACCTCATCCCTTTGTGTGTATTTTACCTCAATAAACTTATTTCAATTTCAATTTCAATGAGAAGATTTGGACATTGACTAATTAGGGCAGACTCAATTAAATTCTGTTCCACAAAGCCATTGCAATTGGTAATGCTTTTCGCCCCATCCCAGTTAATAGTGTGATCACACAAACTTGTGTATAGATACAAAGCATTAGACGTTTGGGCAGTTCTTATACTATAAGCATGTTGGGACATACGTAATTGTAAGGATTTTCTTGTTTGTCCAAGGTACACAGACTCACAATCATTGCAGGGAATCGAATACACACAACCTGCTGTATCAGGGCAGTTTTTTTTTATTAAATTAGACTTGATCGTATCATTAGTGAACACCAAATTGATATTAAGGTTCTTAAAAACTGGGGAAAGTTTCTCAAATCCCATCGCATAAGGTACCACCAATGAGTTTCTAATTTCTGGTTTCGCTTTGGAGACATTATTATAAAACGTACGTTTAGCTTTCCCAAACGAACAATCCAAAAACATCTTAGGGTACTGTAAACTCTTCCCAATTTCATATATTTCAGCATTCTCTTTATCAAAAATCTTATACCCTCAAAGCTCGAAGAAACATTCCTGAAAATACTGCCTGTTTAACTTTACTGTGATGATTCGAATAATAATGAACAAACGACTCCCCGTTGGTAAGTTTTCTATACACATTAAATTTGAACCTTCTATTGACTCTATGAATCAAAATGTCCAAAAACGGAAGAGTACCATTCTCCTCATTCTCACATGTGAATTTTATTGAAGGTACCAAAGAATTAAGTTCATTAAGAATAACAATTTGGTCTTGGTCATTCGGCCATAAGCACAAAATATCATCGACATACCTAAACCAAACAACATTACAGGGGATAATCCTGGATAAGATTTTTGTTTCGAAGAACTCCATATACAAATTGCTCAAAACTGGGGAAAGGGGATTGCCCACTGCCATTCCAAATGTTTGTTTGAAATTTTTTTCATTGAAACTGAAATAGTTGTCTTTTATACATAATTTGATAAATTCCAACACATTATTGGTCTGCATGCTCAAATTATATTTAGGCAGTTTGCCTAAATATTTTTTTTTTTTTTGAGATATATACAAGAGTTGTTACATTCTTGTACAGCCACTAGTACGCGGAGCGTTTCGGGCAAGTCCTTAATCCTATGGTCCCTGGAATACGATCCCCTGCCGCGAAGAATTAAGCTCAAATTATATAATTTGAGCTTGCAGACCCCAATATATGTACTTTCTCAACCCAGTGTACCTTCTTTTAAATAAATAAATAAATAAATAAATAAAAATAAACGCAAGTCTTAAACCTTAAGGCATCTTTCTTCCCGCCTTGCTAATAATGCACAATAGCAAGCGTTTCACGTGTGTAAACGCCCAAAACCAATTCTTTAGGAATAAAGGAAACTCAGCTTCTTATGTTACTGTTATCAGAACTGTTTTATTGAAGTATTATGTGAGGAGAGCTTTAATGATGTGATATTTCACAAAAGCTAAATACAACTTTGAGTGAAGAGCTCACACAAAATTCCGCCACTCGAATTTCGGTTGTGTTCCCTGGCATTTGTGGTAAGTTATCTGACATGCTATTGACTTTTTAAGTTACGATCGAAGACCTATATACCCGCCTCAGTCCTGCTAAGAGATCGTATGCACTCAAAAACAAAGTCCTAACTTCTGTGATACATTTTAAACTTATAACTCCATATATAGTCACCGTCCATTGGAGAAAATAACAATGCCTTTGGGGGGTAGAAATAGCCTAAGCTACTCTATCCCTTTGAGATGTATTTCTTTCTTGTCTCAATAAATATACTTAAACTTGAACAATGCCTTTTTAATAATACATTCATTACACATGTGCTGGGGAAAAAAAAGATAAATTTTTATTAGGCCTAATTTTTCTAAACTACTTGTTATTTAAAATTACAAAATCGTCATCAAGCGGCAATGTTATACTGCATATGCATACACATATGACCCCAACGAGCAGTGCTTCGTCACAGAAATTTTGTACAAGAGTTAGGTTGGGATTTCAATGTCTGTCTGGTAAAACTTACTCTGTAACTATCATAGGTAAACTTTTGTAAAACATATATTAAAGGGAAAGATCGCTTTACTAGCTCTAGTAAAGCTCTAACGGTTGGTGAGAAGCTCTAAAGGTCGGTAGGAAGGTCTAACGGCCGGTTGGAAGCTCTAAGGGTTGGCGGAATCTCTAACGGTCATTAGGAAACTCTAATGGTCATTACTAAGCTCTAACGTCGGTAGAAAGCTCTAACGGTTGGCAGGAAGCTCTAACGGTCGGTAGGAAGCTCTAACGGTCGGCAGGAAGCCCTAACGGCCGGTTGGAAGCTCTAACAGTTGGTTGGAAGCTCTAACAGTTGGTTGGAAGCTCTAACAGTTGGTTGGAAGCTCTAATGGTTAATAAGAATCCAATTTATCTCTACAGAACAATTTAAAAATTGTTCTTGAATAATGTTCTTGGCACTGGAGGGAGAAGTAATATGAAAAATAAATTTATGTTACAGTATTCGCCTGTAATAAGGACAGTTGATACATGTAGCATATATGTATCAGTTATTATTATATGACATTTAAATAAAGTCTACTGAAGACTTAATGAATAATTAAATGGGCTTCATCGCAAGAGGAATACATATGACTGTCCTTTTACTCGCATGTAAACATTAGTTTACTCCTATGTAAATACATTAGTAAACTACCATGTAAACTAGTAAGTGTTTGTCATTAGGCAAGAGGTCACGTTATCAGACGTATTGACATGTAAGAATCCAAAGTGAGCTGAAAGCGAAACATTTACGTGAAGGATGTTCCTATCTCATAATGAATACCTTGTTTTGTGGATAGTACTATTATAAAACTGAGAACGGCAACTGCGCCAGAATGGGCGCAGTTGCCTGGGTGTCGAGGATAGGCTGGCGGTGAGCGGTCGTAGGGGCGACGCCCAGCTTACAGCCACCCACCCTTCTTCTCCCCCTTTGGTTTTAGCAAAGGTTCGCTTTGGGTAGACGGAGTGTTGTCGCGGAAGGCTGCTGCTGGCGGAGTGGACGGCTTTGGCCCCGGACTGCCTTGGATCGCCTTCTCTGCAGCAACGTCATCAGCAGCAGCCTTTTCAATGGGGATACTTTCAGAAGAATCCTTAACTGATGAATCTTTTTCCGTGGAAACCTGTTTTAACGGAGCCTCAGGGGCTGCAGGTTTTGGAGATACAGGCTGAGGAGCTTGTGGCTTCACAGGTTTGTGAGCAGGTGGACTGAGAGGGACGGGAGTTTCTGTTGGCTTTGGAGTTGACGGGATAACGGCGATGGTAGGCGGAGGGCTTTTCTGCTTGGGTGGCAGCCGTGAAGGGCGACGAACAAAGTCTACATCCTCTAGCTCGTCGGAGCCGGTAAACGTCTGCTGCTGGACTTGGGGCGGCCGTAAAGGTACGGGGCGATGCACAGCATGCTCGGACTCAGGGCCACGACGAGCATTTACACAGGCTGGAGGAGGGATCCTCAGTGGTGATGAGTCCCTGATGGGAAGACGTCCCACCGGGCGCCTTGGGAGGGCTGGGACCTCAGCCTTTTGCTGATTGTTGATGGGAAGAAAGCCCCTGGCTTTAATCTGGCTCGGCTTCAATGCTTCTGTGCTTTGTTGAATTATAGGCTCAGGTCTCTGGGTTTCAATTTCTTTCTTCTGAACTAACTCCTCACCTTTACTCAACTGAGGTGCGCTTTTCACCGAGACTGCTTTGACAATTTCTTTGTAAACTGGAGGTTCAATCTTACTTGGCAGAGGCACGCCCAACGATGCTGTTTTTGAGACTTGAGCTTCTTTCTTCTCAAGTTTAGCCTCAATTTTATCTACCTGCTGCGGGGTCTTCTCTGATACTGATGTGATGGTCGCCGGAGGCTTAGGGGAGCTTTCATCTGTGATTTGATGCTGAACAGGTTTAGAGGGTTGGGGTTCGCTGACTACTTCAGTCTTCTTCTTGGAGAGAACCTTTAGAGAACTTTTGATGTTGCTGCTCACAGGAACGTCTAAGCTGATGTCGGATCCACCATCCTCACCGTCCCTTTTGAGCGAGTGGGAGGAACGACGCCCTGGCACCGTCAGCATGTTGGGGTCCTTAGCTTGCCCTGCCGAGACCAATCAAGTTCAACCGAGTATAATATATATCCTTATTTGTACTAAGACGTCTCTACACAAGAATGATGAAAGATAATTTGAATTATAACAGAGAACCTATACATTAAAAAAGATGTTCTTCAAGCAACGACGAGGTAAATGGCATAATTTTAACAAAAATTAGTAATTACATGGTACACTGAGGTACAATCACTTAATATGAATACTTTCATTCAGGTAATCTTAAGATGCCTTACAAATCGAAAACTTGCCAGTTGCAGATCGTGTGAAGTGAAGTTAGTGTCGAGGACCATGTGAAGTAAAGTTAGTGTCTAGTGAGGACCATGTGAAGAGAAGTTAGTGTCTAGTGAGGACCATGTGAAGAGAAGTTAGTGTCTAGTGAGGACCATGTGAAGAGAAGTTAGTGTCTAGTGAGGACCATGTGAAGAGAAGTTAGTGTCTAGTGAGGACCATGTGAAGAGAAGTTAGTGTCTAGTGAGGACCATGTGAAGAGAAGTTAGTGTCTAGTGAGGATCATGTAAAGTAAAGTTAGTGTCTAGTAAGGATAATGTGAAGTGTAGTGTATAGTGAGGATCGCGAGGATAGTGAGAATTTCGTGTATGGTAAGAATTGGGGGTAGTGAATATGCAGTGTTGGTTACCGTTGTACTTTTTGGTTAACTGAGGGGGGGGAGGGGGTGTAGAATCTGGAATGGTCGACTTCGTCCTTCACCTGTGGAAATGCTAGCTGACTCAGCTAGTTATATAAATACAGGTATATGGATAATCAGCTGTATAAAACATTAGTCTCCCATGGTTTGATCCCTCATACTACAGTATTGTATTTAGTGTAAAATTCGCTGTGACGTTGTCAAAGCCCATACGTACCGTCCTTAGCTTTGCCTGGCATGGACCAGATTTTGGTTTCAGTTGGCAATGGTGTCTCGGATGGTGAGGCGTGAGGGCTCAGATCCAGGTTTTTGATGGCCTCCAGCAGGTGAGGTCCTGTGTACAAGTCAGGGAAGGGGGAGCAACCGCGGGAGGAGCCTGGCGACCCGTCAGGTGTTCCTTCTTCCATCTTCTTGCGGGCTCTGTCCATGGCCATCTTCAGGCTCTCTCGCCCTTGGTCGCAGCCAGAGCCGATCTGGGACCTGATGGGGGCAACACTGTTAGAATTTCCTGGTAGGTCTAAGTAAGTAATTATCAAAATAAGGCCCCAAGCCGGGAAGGCTATGTAGCAACTCGAAAAACACTAGACGCACTTCCTGGTGCGTCTAATGTTTCCTTACTTGTGCATCTTCCAACAAATTAAAACCTTCCCCATCACCTGGTGTACGGGGTAGGGGTAGGTACTGGATATAGTATGGGAAGGTTAGGTTTGTACGGAACGGGGGGACGAGGAGGAGATGGTTACCGGAATGGGGACAGGGAGGGGTGGGACCGGAAGGGGAAGGGAGAGCGATGGGTACCGGAAGTGGCACGGGAAGGGGTTAGACAAGAAAGGGGGTCAGGGAGGGGGTGGGTACCGGAAAGGGGACGGGTTAGTAAACAGTAAAACAGTGAAAGGGGAGAGGTAAACATGACGAGCTAGAGACATTCTTGTTACATGGGGCCTATGGTGGGGGTGCGGGTTGTATATTGCGGTGACATAACTAGGATACTGATGATGGGGATATAGGATACTTTGGTGACAAAGGAACGCTGTTAACAACGCTGTATTATATTGACATGCGGGTAGAATATTATATTTACATGGTTATAGGATATTTTATTGACGTTGGGGTAGAATATTATATTGACATGACAGTAGGATATTTTATTGACATGGGGGGTAGAATATTATATTGACATGGGGTAGAATACTATCATGACATGGGAACACTGTTGGCGTAGGGGCAGGATATTACATTGACATGGGGGTCTCTGGTGAATTACATATAGAATACTCTAGCGACATGGGAACTCTGGTAAGTTAGAAATTGTCGAGATAAAATGCTACACAATTATGTCCACATAGCACCTCGATGCGCAACTAGATTAAAACTACATGAATACTATTCACGATATCGATTCGAGAGCAAGAGGACACCATGCAGGTTATCATATGAGGGGTTGTCCCATTCAGCAACCACAACATCTAGTGACAACTCTTGCAAAGATGTGGTTTGTGATGCAGAGATCACTATTATCATGACAATTACGACACTCGGCCAAAACATGCGAGACTGTATATGGGAGAAGAACGTTGAGGGTTTGCTGTTCACTCCTAGATCTGTCAGTGACTCACCCTAGTGTGGTTAGTACTCATGGGGGGGGGGGTTAAGGATGCTCCCCATTTACAGTTGTGATAACAGGAAGAAGGCCTGGGGTAAAGGTCAAGTCTGATGGTGCAGATTTTAATATTGACTAAACTTACCCACTTTGAGTCAATGATTGAGTAATATTCTGTTTAAAAGATCAGATTTTAAGAACAGGGGTCATATCTGACCGGCAGTTTTTGCTGTTTCATCAGCCAATTTATTGGAGCCTATTCTATGCCTATATGCCTAGCAAAACTTTACTTGATTGAGTTTAATGTAAATCAGAAACAGTCAGTATTGGATTTAGGAATGATTAAAATGTTCAATAGCCAGTAAGACGTTTGTAGTCTGTAACAATGAAAACTATGTTTTAATAATATAACCTTGGGAGCCTCTTGACGTGGGGTTGGATACTTTGATAACATGGGAACACTGGTGATGGGGGGAGGGGTTCAAACACTGCAAATGGCCTGCTGGCAATACCGGGACAAGTTACAAGACACTAGTTCAACGTACAGAGAGGAGCCACTGGTATCAACGGTTGATTTGGCCATGGCAAGACGTGCTATCCTGCGGAACTTGTCAGCGGCGCTCTCTCCCTCGATAGGAACCTCTTCCCTGGGCACCGAGCTGTCGTCTGCACCCATGGCGGGAGACACGTGGAAGTCTCGCATCAGTCGACGCTCCCACACTCGCATCTTGCGGCCCAACGCGGCTGTGGGTGGTAGAAAGGGAGGAGTTAGCTGTGGGGAATCTCAATTGTGGCAGAATTAGTCTTTTGAGGGGGAACAACTTCGACAAAGGTCATCTTTGGTGAATGGTGTTGCGAAGAACTGTAGTCGAAGTTAACTGTTTTGTAGGCCAGCTGTGGTGGAGCTCGAGAGTTGTGAAGGTCACTAGCAGTGTAGGTCAGCTGTATTATATGTTAATGGTGATTGAAATCTGTGGCGGAGGTCTGATAATCTCGTATTGTGTGGTTTGCGGGGAGATCCACCTATTTCATGCACACATTATATTTTCATACATGATTATTTTAACAGTAAAACTTCAACTAAACTGATTATAATGGAAAAGTATTACCTAAGGTTTATGAAAATAGAATATACCAATTGTGCCTTTAGCCCCTTCTCCTCCTCCAGCCCACCTCCCGCCCCAGCCCCTCACAACACTACCTCTGCTCTTCTTGGCGCACAGCGAGATGTCCATGCCGTTGTGTCCGAACAAATCGATGAGCTCGAATCTGAGGGAAGAGATGTCACCCTTAACTTCACTAATATCGTCCTCGTTGACAGGTCGCTCCTCGTTGCGTCGTTGTAAGGAGCACACATAACGCCAGATGAGCGCCCGCATCACCGACAGGTAGCGGTAGTCGCGCGCCTTCTTGTGCCGGCTCTGGGTCTGTAGGAGGAACATGCAGGCTCTTCTTAGTCTCTGTGTTGTCCCCTCCATGTGACAAAACATTATCTTAATTCATTAACTTTGCTTTTATTTTTATTTACAAAGGTTGCGTGCCTGTAATCGCTGACTTTGAGGTTTCATTCATTACAGTACCTCTACTTCAGACACTGATTCACGAACCTCAACACCTCATTACAGGCTCTTGCTTTCTCTACTATGGGACAAATCTGACAAGCATGACCTGCCTTTGATCATTACCATTATCCTGATCCCTTCCTAGTGCTATATAGCCGTAATGGCTTGGCGCTCTCTCCTGATGTGACGACTTATACTGAATTTTGTAACTAGCTCATCAAGATTGTAACTTGCTCAGCTAAATGAATTGTGGGGTTCAGTCCCTGAGCCCATTATGTGCCTCTGTAACCCTTTCCACTACTGCCCACAAGATGGGTATGGGGTGCATAATAAATGAACTAAACTAACTAAGCTCTCTCCTGATAGTTCCCTACCCCCCCCCTGCCTGTGACCGCGGCACTGTTCACCGGTAAGAAGGTTAGGTAAGGTCGGTGTTTTCTATGAAGCTTTTCAAGGTAAACTAGTATGTTTAGTTTGTCACATATGCACGTATTTAATAAGTCAATATTGACTATACGAAAGTGCGAGAACGGGTTGCACCACCTACCCTGGAAGACATCTTGCGGACGAGCGCTTGTTTCCTGCTCGACTTGCCAAATAGCCTCAGACAACTCTTCAAAGTGGGGAAGATGTTGAAGGGCGGCGGCAGGGTGTTGCCCTCCTCGAAGTACGACATCCACAGCTTGGTCCTGGCGAACTTCCACTCCGTGTCGGCGTGTTCCTGAGCACAGCAGCCATGGTGGCTGGATTAGCTGAGGTACATTGTGAGCTGTTTCATATATTCATGTAAAATGTTCAAAACCTTGCTAATGTTTGGCATTTTAAGAGGTAGTTATGATGATATACCGCTTCTAAAAGCTCCAGTCTTATAAACTAAGTGTAAAGACAGTTTATAGGAAATGTATATGTTTATCTCTCAGGATGTTCGGTAATACGTTTATTGCTTGTGATGTGTGTCTATGTATGTATTAACACGATGTACTGAACGGGGTGAGAATAACTTGAGCTACCTCATCCCTTTGTGTGTATTTTACCTCAATAAACTTATTTCAATTTCAATTTCGAGACAGTTTATTGTATTCATTTTCTTTGGCTGATGTTACACTTACTAAACAAAGCATGCTACCAGCACTGGGGGAAGGGGGGACTGTGCCATTTGACTGTAAAATACAGAAAGGTTATAAGAGTCTGTGTATGCGGGAAGACACAGCTAAAGAAACACAACACAGCAATCAAACGTATACCCTAATCTAACGTTACAGCCTAATTAAACCAAATTTAAGGTATAATCTATGCTCAGCTAACTTTACAACCTAACAAAACCTAACGTTTTCTATATTAACCTAACATTACAACCTCAGTAGACCTAATATATTCTATCGTATGTTAACCTAACCTTGCCATGTAACAAAAGTTACCACAATCTGTTTCACGCTAACATAACTTGCCTTACAACCTAACTAATCCCAACCTAACCTTTCCTAGGACATCCTAACTTAACCTATCCTGT